TCGAACTCACAAAGATCCGACTGCCTCTGCCTCGAGGAGTATTAATGTTGTAGAATGCACCAGTACTTCACTCCTTTTTATGGCTTTGAAGTAATTGTATGAGCAGTCCATATTTGTTTAACCACATTCATACATCTCATATTACACCAAATTTTTCATTATTGTCAAGAATGCTTCAATGAATGCTTATGTGCATGTTATTTTTGAACATGTAATTCTCTTGGGTATTATTTGTGAAAGAAACCGCTATTTCCACATTGACTGAAACAGTTCATATTCTCAGCAACACTGTTCTGATTTCTTTATGTATTTGCCAGCATTCATTTTTCACTGGGGCTGGGTGTAGTAGCCCATGCCCTTGATCTCAGCACAGGCTGGTGTGAGTTTGAGGCCAACAGGGTGAAAGGAAAGCTGCTTTCTGCAATTGTCCACTGACCTCCACACGTGCTCCCCATCAAATATGTAACTTCACGTAAACAAATTTTAATCAAGAAAAATACATAGTCAGCCCAGTGAATGTGAAGTGGTAGCTATTATTGTTTTCATTTTCATTTCTCTAATAATAATGTTGAGCATTTATGTACATCCTTTGGAGCTTTTAAAAATATCAGATATAACTCAACTGCCGGGCGGTGGTGGCGCACGCCTTTAATCCCAGCACTCGGGAGGCAGAGCCAGGCGGATCTCTGTGAGTTCGAGGCCAGCCTGGTCTCCAAAGCGAGTTCCAGGAAAGGCGTAAAGCTACACAGAGAAACCCTGTCTCGAAAAAAACCAAAAAAAAAAAAATATCAGATATATAACTTACATATATATATAATAAAGTCCTATTTTAATATACATTTTCCTCTTGTTGCTCTTACTTTTGCTGCTGTATATAAAAATAATAATAATAATCCATTGTTAAATCTAAGGTCATAAAGATTTACCTCTATAGTTTCTTCCAAAAGTTCTAAATCATATATTTAGGACTTTGGTACATTTTGAATTAGTTTTTGTGTATGGTATGAGGTAGGTGTCCACTTTTTTTTTCATGTTTATATCTAGTGTTCTATTGTCATTTATTGAAAAGATTATTCTTCTCCTCATATTTGAAATAGTCACATTTTAAAAATGATAATCAAAATATCATTTTGAATGACACTGGAATCCTTGTCAAAAATCCAACTGATCATGGCTGGAGAGATGGCTCTGAGGTTAAGAGCACTTGCTGTTCTTCAGAGGTCCAGAGTTCAATTCCCAGCAACTACATGGTAGCTCACAATCACTATAATGGGCTCTGATGCCCTGTTCTGTCATGCAGGCATACATGCAAATAGAGTGCTCATATGCACAAATAAGTAAATATTTAAAGAAGAGCACTTGCTGCCTTTGCAGAAGATCTGGGTTTGCTCACTAGCACCTACATGGCTACTTACAAGCATCTGCACCTCCAGTTTCAGCTCATCTGATTCCCTCTTCTGGCTTCTGCAAGCACCAGGGCACATACATGTATGCATTTACATCCATGCAGGCAAACATTTGTACACATGAAATTAAAATGCATAAATCTTAAAGATAGAAAAAAAAGCCAACAGTCCACAGACATGTGGGGTTATCTCTGGATTCTCAGTTGCATTCCATTTATGTGTTTCCTTTTATGTTAGCACTTCTCTTTTTGATTGCTCTAGCTGTTCTCTGTGGTTTTAAACCAGAAAAATGCAAATCCTCTATATTTATTCTTTGTGTGTGTGTGTGTGTGTGTGTTTGTGTGTGTGTGAAGTCCTGAGGGCAACCATAGGTGTTTTCCTCAGTTGCTATCCACCTCGTTTGTTTTTGAGATAGGGTCTCTCACTGAATCTGGAGCTTGCCTATTTGGCTAGGCTGGCCGGTCAGTGAGCCCCAGGGATCCTCCTGCCTCTGCTTCCTTGGTGCTGAGGTCGTGAGTTCATTTAGCTGTGCCTGGTGTTTTACTTGGGTTCTGGGTATAAAATACAGGTCCTTGTACTTTTGTGCTAAGCACTTTACTGACTGAGCTGTTTCCCCAGGCTTCTACATTTTTTTTTCTTTTCCAATATTGTTTAGGCTATTTAGGGATTTTTATTTTCCACATGACCTTTGGAATCAACTATTCTGTTACTGAAAAAGTTTTGTCATCTTAGCTGCATCATTTTCTCATCTATGATGTTTTTTTTCATGCACTTAGGGATTCCTTTATTTTTGCCAGCAATATTTTGTAGTTAGAAGCATATACATATTTGATTTTCCTGCTTAAATTTATTCTTGTTTTATTCTTTTTGCTTCTGTTGAGTGGGGATTATTTGGCTAATCTTTCTTCTTTCCTTCTTTTCCTTTCTTTCTTCCTTCCTTTCCTCCCTTCCTCCTTTTTTCCTTCCTTCCTTTCAACAGGTTCTCTCTACATAGTCCTGAATGTCCTGGAACTCTATGTAGAGCAGGCTGGCCTGGAACTCACAGACATCCATCTGCCGCTATTTCCTAAGTACTGGGATTAAAGATGTGTGCTACCATGCCTAGGCTAGGTTAGTTCCTTTTTAAGATTGCTCTTTCTTATTGTGTAGGACTATATACAATACTGTACACTGAATTTTTGGGCTTTGTATCCCGTGAGATCACTGAATTCTTTTATTAGCCCTGGTAGTGTTTTGTTTTCCTTTTTGTTTGTTTGTTTTGGTGGTTTTGTTGAGACAGCTTTTCTCTGTAGCCCTGGCTGTTCTGGAACTCGCTTTGTAGACCAGGTTGGCCTGGAACTCACAGAGATCCTCCTGCCTCTGCCTCCTAAGATTAAAGGCATGAGCCACCATGCCCATCACCTCTAGTAGTGTTTTGTGGTGTTCTTGATGATACATTCTATATAAAATCATATTGTCCATAAATAGAGATTGTTTTATTTCTATCTTTGGAAATTAGATGCTTTTCACTTTTTTTTCTTGCTCTGGCTATGGTTTCCAGAATTTTATTGAATAGACACACTGAAAATGGACATCCTGGAGCTGGAGAGATGGCTCAGTGGTTAAGAGCACTGGCTGCTCTTCCAGTGGACCAGGTTCAATTCCCACCACCCACGTGGTAGCTCACCACTGTCTATAACTCCTGTTCCAGAGGATCTGACACCTTTACACTAATGCATGTAAAATAAATTAAAAAAAAAGAAAATGGACATCCTTGTCTTGTTTCTAATCTTAATGAGAAAGCTTGTTTTTTAATTTTACATACTGTTATTTTTAAAATTCCATTATGTTTATGAAATTTCCTTCTATTTGGATTTTTTTAAAATGTTTTTATTTTAAGAATATGTTGCATTTCTACAAAAGATTTTTCTGTATCAGTTTTGGTCAGCAGTTCTCAACCTGCGGGTCATAACCCATTTGAAGGGTTGAACAACCCTTTCACAGGGGTCGCATATCAGATATCCTGCATACCAGACATTCATATTACACTTCATAACAGTAACAAAATTACAGTTATGAAGTAGCAACCAGATAATTTTCTGGTTGGGGTCACCACAGCATGAGGGAGTGTACTGAAGGGCCACAGCATTGGGAAGGTTGAGAACGGCTGGGGTCGATGCTTTCCTCTTCCACAGCCTACATTTTTAACCATTTGACACATTACTGCCTCTCTTTTCCGCTACGAATTACTGATGGCTGTATTTTGCATTAGGTACAAAAATCTTATTTCCATCAAAAACCACTGAAGGTATGACTTTTGATGGGTATATGTAATTTTCTCATGTGATCTATCCATAATTTATTTAATTCTTCAGGTGGTTCACCAAATTTGAGTGTTCTATATAACCTTCTATTTCTCTTTTTAACCGTTTTTTAATTTTTTTTTAATGTGTATTGGTGTTTTGTCTGCATTCATGTCTGTGAGAGGTTGTTGGATACCCTGCAACTGTAGTTTCAGACTGTTGTGAGCTGCCATGTGGTTGCTGGGAATTGAACCAGGTCCTCTGGAAGAGCAGCCAGTGCTCTTAACTGAGCCATCTCTCTAGCCCCTTAGCCTTCTATTTCTTCAGGAACAAGTCTTCAGGGTTGGAATGATTGGGAACTCTGAAGTCCTCTGTGTGATTTCTGAGGAATTTTAAAAGGTCACTGTGAATGTCTACCACTTAATGAACGTGGCTGTATTCTGAGTCAGCTGTCCGCAGCTCCAGACTCAATCAGTCAACTTTCTGTTTCTGGAGCTCTTCAATTTTCACTTCTATAAGGAAATCACCCCCTACTTCCTCCTTGATATATTATCATTCTTGTCCCCCAGTCTTCTCATTTTCCATCCACATTCTGACCTTGGCTTGCCAGTAGAACCAATGCAGGAAATAGAACTTTACCAGTTCAAATTGCATTTAGACACCGCTGTGCATTTTCATTGTACTTTATTTAGTTTGGAAGACACCTGCACTCTGGCCAGTTTGTTTTTCAGTTATTCTCTTTCCTTCATCAATATTCACTTGCCTGCTTTTTAATTTTTTTTTTAGAAAACCTGCAACATGCCAAATTGAACTTACACATAAGACAAATGTTGAAAAATTCAGTCTTAGAAAATACCAAAAAAAAAAAAAAAAAAGTTCGTGCCTATAAGTTTTTGCATTTGGCTGATTTAAAGACAGTGTTTGAAGTTAATATTTTTTGCACACTCAAGCATCCGCATAACTTTGGGACCTTCATTTAAATACACGCATCTGCTTATCCATTTTGATATCATTAGATACATTAAATTAAAAAAGTGTAAAGTTATAAAAGGGAGTACACTGAAAAACAGCCTAAGGTCTGAAGAGATCTAAAGCAGATACCAAGTAGGAGACTTGAAGTGGCCACTGGTTTATTGTCCAGGCATGCCCAGAACTCGCAGAACTACGTTTCCCAGAGTGCTTAGAGCGGACAGACGCCTCGGCCTCCAGCTGAGCATCAGTCCCGCCTTCTCACTCTAGTGATTGGTCTCTTCACTTCCGCGCCTCCGCGGTTCTCTTCTGCCATTGGTGGATGTTCCGCCGGGGAGTTTTACTCTTTCCCGGTCCTGTCAAGCACCTGGCTCTCGCTCCCGTACCAAGATGGCGGCAGAAGCAGCTGGTGGGAAATACAGGAGCTCAGTCAGCAAAAGCAAAGACCCCTCGGGGCTGCTCATCTCGGTGATCAGGTGAGGGAGTCAGGAGGCAGGGTGAGGACAGGGCAGCGGCTCGCCCTCCGCTGAGGAAGGGAGAGGCGTCGGTCGGGTCCCGCCCGCCGGCCCTTCCCTTCCTCCTGGCCTCCCCAGCCCCTCCCCAGGGCCTGTGGTCCGGCGGGGCGGCCCCCAGGACTCCCGGTTTCCCTGGGGCCCGGCTTAAGGAGAGGAGCCCGCCCTCAGCCTTCCCCTCAGGGCAGGGTCTTGACTTGGGTCCCCGGCCCCACTCGCTTGGGTTCGGGAGGCAGCCCGGCGCAGGTGTGCTCCTTCACTCCTAAAACAGGTACTGGTTGGTTGACCCCGGTGCAGCTCGCACTCGGCCACGCCAGCCGGGGCCCGGGGTCCGGCCCGTGTCTCCTGTTGGGACTTCACGAGTGTCCCCTTCTGGGCACTTCCCACCACCTGTGACTAGCCCCAGCCATGCAGCCGCTGAGCCCAGGTTCTGCGGTGAGCTGCTGAGGACTGGACGTCGAAGGGACACACGTGTTTCTTATTTGGTCGCTTTCTTATTCCCTCAGAACCACACCAGAACAGAATTTCACGTCGCCCTGGGTGTTACTACTCTCTTCCTGAAGTAATAGGGTGAGAGTGGCAGTGGTGGACTATTTTAAAAAAAAAAAAATGTTTAAAACGTTAAACAAATTTAGACCAGCCTGAATAAAATGCACTCTGACACACTTATACGTTGTTGTCATTTGAATTTTACCCCACATATTTTCATGAACCAAATGCCCCTTGCTTCTCCCACTTATCCTTCACTTTGATTTGAATTCTTAAGAGGGCTCATGTAATGGTCCTGATGATTTTTTTTTTTTTTAAACCCAGGACCTACCAGAATTTGGTAGGTTGTAAGCCCTTGAAAGAATGGATAAATCAAGCTTCAGAAAGTTTACCACTTACTGGGCTGAGAAAGACCTATCTATGGGTTTTATGTCAGAGACAGTAGTTTAAGACAATGGCCTGTTAAGTTATTATCAATTTTATTTTACAAATGAGAGGATAGAGCTTTCTGTGAAAATAATATACTTTGTAGGTCTTGAAGAGAAAATAGGCTTGTGTAACTGTAGGACTTTACAGCACAGATTTATCCCGTGATATTAAAACCCCAATCAAAGCATTTGTAGTCCCCTATCTTAATTTTCTCTGAAATTCTAGTATGAGTGCTTGGATGTTTTTCTGAACTTGTTTTTTTTCCTGCCTGATAGTCAACACTCATAAACAATAGATATTTACTGGCATTTATTTAGTACTTAGGGAATATTTGTTGAATGAGTGAATGAATGCCGTGAGGTTTTCAAAGACAAGTCAGATATAATATTACTCTTGAGCGTGTATTCTACTTTTGAGATAAAGATGTATAAAGAGTATGAAAGGGACTTGGAGAAAGATGGAGTGTTACAGAGATGGAGACTTTATGGAAGGAGTGGTCATTTCCAATGGAAGTGGAGTGGGTTAGGGAAAGTAGCAACTTATGTCCATCTTCTTTGTGATTCTGATCCTGTATGTAGGCTTTGTGTGTCAGATTTCTTTTTCTTTCTTTCTTTCTTTCTTTTTTTTGGGGGGGGGTTTTCGAGACAGGGTTTCTCTGTGTAGCTTTGCGCCTTTCCTGGAACTCACTTTGTAGACCAGACTGAACTCGAACTCAGAGATCCGCCTGCCTCTGCCTCCTGAGTGCTGGGGTTAAAGGCGTGCGCCACCACCACCCAGCGTGTGTCAGATTTCTTAAGTGACAGATTTACCCTCAGTAAGTGATATTTAAAAACTGAAAAAGGCCTTAAAACTTTTTGACTGATTCTGATGTGGAGACGTACATTTGCCTTGAAGGGTCAATCCTTTGTCATCTTCTGGGGGCATCACCCACTGCGGGATAGTGTATGACATTGTTGTTTTGTATTGAGTTATGGTCTTGTATATCCCAGTCTGGCTTCAAATTCATTATGTAAATAGTAGTAACCTTGGACTCTTGCTTCTGTCTGCCGAGTGCTGGTATCACAGGTGTACATCACAATACCTGCTCTTATTTGGTTATCCATTTTTCTCTCTTTCTTTTTCTGAGACAGGGTTTCTCTGTGTAACAGCTCTGGCTGTCCTGGAACTCACTCTGTAGACAGGGCTGTCCTCAAACACACAGAGATCTGCCTGCCTCTGCCTCTCAAGTGCTAGGATCAAAGGTGTGGGGGAGGGGGGCCCACGCCACTGGTTATCCATCTCTTAATCCAATCTGTATGTATTACCTTTACTTTTTCACTATGATTTTGGCCCAGGGCATCATTTACTTTGACTTCTGTTGTGAAGTACTTCTTTAATTTTGATTCTTAATCCAGATCATGTCAGAACACTTGAATGACATGTTTCCTTTGTTGTGCTTTTTAAAATCGTGCTATTAAGGTACGTCCAGACCTATCATTCTAGGCAAGTTTAGTAAAGATTGGGGTCTATGCTTACATATGAACACAGACTAGATGTTTTTGGTGCTGGCGTGTTGCTGTTTGTGTTTCAACATTCCTTTGGAGACAGAAACATTTGCTTTGGAATGAGGGATGATGTTGCTAATTTCTGTTGTTGGTTTCCTTCCTGATTTTCTTTTGTACTTAACTCATAAACAGTGCATTAGAAGAGAATGGTAGTATGGGTTTGGTCTTGGGATTTGGGGTGAGAGAATGGCCCTGATTGGAAGAATAGAATAGGACCGTGCATTTCTTATCAGGAACTGTGTGTCATTCTGGTTTCGGCTCATCAAATCTGTGCAGTTTGTCCTGCTGCTCTTCTTGTACATTGTATTCATTGTTCTTAGATCTTCCCATGGACTTCAGTTACCTCCTTCCATCCTTAATGTGTTTCAGATTCTCTCGAAAGACCTGGTTGCTTTGGCAACAAGCTTCACAAAGGAAATCCCATTTTAGGATGGTGTTTTAAAAAGTCTGAGTATTCCTGTAAGGGTACTTGGTACATACTAGCTTTTTCATGGTGCCCTAGACCCATCATCTTGTCCCCAAAATAAATTAGCCTGTCATTTAAACAGTTTGATTAGTTCATCTTTATTTGTTATATCATTGAGCAGTGTTTTTCATGTTTTGGAATGTTTAAAAATTTCCTTCAGTTCTTTTTCCCTAATGTGTAAAAACACCATTTCTACACCAGGTTATATGTTGTAACATTTTATATTGCTTTTAAAATGATTTTATTTATTTATTTAGAGATAAGGTGTCACTATAGAGCCTGGCTGGCCTGGACTTGCTGTGTAGACCAGGCTGATCTTGAACACAGAGATCTATTTGCCTCTGCTTCCCAAGTGCTGGGATTAAAGATGCGAGCCACCATACCTGGCTAAAATGTTATTCTTAATAGAGGATAAGAACATTTCTTGTTGTAGACACATTTTGGTACTGGCTTAAACTCCAGATAAGGTCTAATATAAGGAGTGAGCTAGTGTACACACAGGAAATGGCCCAGCCTCATTGCCATCTTGAACTTCTGATTCTTCTGACTCTACCTCCTGATGCTGTGAGTACAGGCCTGCCCCATGACAGCCAGTTCTCACTGCCACTTTCTATCATGGTAGTAACTAATTAGATGATGGCTCAGGGTTTTGCTTATCAGAGTCCATCACTGAGAATTTAAAATGAAAACATACAGTGCAATTTCTCTCTCTCTCTCTCTCTCTCTCTCTCTCTCTCTCTCTCTCTCTCTCTCTCTCTCTCTTTCTCTCTCTCTCTCGGTTTTTTGAGACAGGATTTCTCTGTGTAATAGTCCTGACTGTTCTGGAACTCGCCTTGTAAACCAGGCTGGCCTTGAACTTAAAGAGATCCACCTGCCTCTGCTTCCTGTATGCTGGGATTAAAGGTATTAGTAACCACTGCCTGGCTGTGCAATTGCAATCTTATATTTGATGGAAAGGGACCTAGAAGGTACTTAAATTAAAATCTTTAATCCCTTAAAAACCCTGAATAAACATGTTTTAGGCCAGTCAATTGTGTAATGGTCCACTCTTGTGTCTGTTTAAAAGTCCTTAGGTCTGTGAGGAAGGCTTTTGGTGAGGAGAGATGGTGTTTACGATTTGGTCTTTTGGAGACTGCCACTAACTGTGATTTTGGGTTTAATCACCACTGGCCCTTTACAGCAGAGCTAATTGGGTGGACATAGTCCAGTTTGGACAGTTTTACACACACACACACACACACACCATATCTTCTTTCCTATTGATTACCCCACTTCAACCTTTTGTTTGGTGTGAAGTTGGAGTTGTGAAGTAAGCAAGATGGCATTTCAGAGATGCTATTTTATTTTTGTGAGTTCTTGTCAGATTTTTAATTGGGGAATGTGTCTACCACTTACTGTAGGTGATTTGCTTTCCAATTAAACATTGAATATGACTTTTTTTTTTGTACGTCAGCCTGCAAATAGCCAGTTTAATTGGGGAGACAGACTCCGGTCGTGACTTAAGGAGGCCTTATTGAAACATTGGAGCAGAGCTTTTGTAGACAGGCTGGTTATAGATGTCAAGGGGGTTTGAAGGCAGTTGGAGGCTCACATTTTCATCAACTTTTATGTCTTCACAGAAGTTGGAATTTCAAAAACATAGAGAATCCTTTATTGTAGGCTCCTGTTAAATTCCTTCCTTCTTCTGTAGAGGATATTTTGGTCAGCCCATAGTTAATTCAAAGTAAAGTTTGTTGAGGAGTCCAGGCTTTGATCTGGGCTTTGAACAGAGACCTTTGAGGTTTGTGACAGTTTGTGGCAGGAAGAGCTTGGCCACTGTTTTGAGCTGGGTCCCAGGAGCTGTGTTAGGCATAGATACTGTTCCTAGCACCGTCTCTCTTTATCCGAGCCCATTGCAAAATAGCCTGTAGGTTTCTTACTCTTTGTTTCCCTCAGCCTTGTCCCCTCAGCGATGCAGTGCTGTTTGCAAGTTACTATCAGAACCACCAGTGTCAGGACCGGAGATGGAGCTCAGTGGGTAGAGTCCTTGTATAGCA